TTAATAAGCACACGTTCTCATGTTACTTGTCACTGACTTGTGCCTGAAGGAAGTACATAGGATTGAGTAGTCATTTCCCTAGATTCTATTTCATCATAATCTAATTTATTTCATCAATTCTATAATCGTTTTATTATTATGATGTATCGTGCTCATCTTTATCAGATGCATCTGCATCGCTTTCGGTTTTTTGTTTCTTCTCACGGTCGTGCTTCTTTTGTTTACGTTTTTGTCTTTTTGCTCGTTTCTTTGCTGTCTTTTCCTCCTCGAGTTTTTTTAGTTCCAACATTCTGGTCTCAAACCCTCGTCTTTCGTCCTCCTAATTTTCACATAACGCTTTCAGTAGTTTGAAAAAAAAAAAAAGACTAGATAACAAACATTAAGGAAAAATTTGTTGATCATTAGCAATTACCTTTTTCGAGTCTTCTTCCATTATTTTTAGTCTCGTATATTCTCGTCGCCGATGTGCTCGGTAAACGTGGAATTCACCACTTCCGGCGCCAGCACTCGATCCTAGGGAATTAATAAAATGTAAATGTAAATAATGACTTTTAAATGAAAAACCGAAATCGAAATTATTGTTGCTCTATCCGATCTGCTAAAATGACATTATAGTCTTTCAGTTCTATAAACGGACCTTGCACATTGCGTACAATGTCTTTTGGGGCTTTTAGCTTCGGTTTATCCTGAATTTCCGGAATTACTATTGGTTTGTCACCACGCTGAAGCAACCTTTCCAATTGTTTTCGTTGTATTTCTGCAGGCGAGGGGTTGTGTCGATGTTTTGGTTTCTTGTTATCTGAATCTGATACCGATTCTGTATCGCTTTTTGTTTTTACGGATGACATTTTGACCGTTTTCCTTATTGTGAACAGGATAATAAACTCATTTATACGTCATTCGCCCTTGTTACCAGGTCACGTCTTTGTTTATTTTCTGTGCACCAAATTGTACCACTCAATTCTGACTATCCGAGGTGTGTTCGAATACGTTTTGGCCAGAAGTTTTGGTGTTCTACTAACAAAAGGTAACTACTAATTCCTCACGACGTGGCCCTCGGCATTTAGTTCTCACGTATTTTGATATATATTATCAAGTTCCAGCAGCCGAAGCACAACGATATTTAATAATGGCTGAAGACGACGTTCCTGCCGCGGATAACGATTCTGTCGGATCCGAATCCTTTGAACCCCTCGAACCAACACTACAAAATGTAATCGATCAGACTTCACTGCATTGGATCTTTGTTGGTGGAAAGGGTGGTGTTGGTATGTTTTGATTTGTGTTTTTAATTCTAAAGAAAATGTGTCCCCGAAGATAGGGATACCCTTGCAACATTCCGATCTTTACTCGACTCTTTTTTCTGCTATGCTGAAAAGGTAAAACCACAACATCGTGTTCACTTGCCGTACAATTGGCCAAATCACGAGAGTCAGTGTTACTCATTTCGACTGACCCTGCCCACAATTTGAGTGATGCTTTCGGGCAGAAATTCAGTAAAGAAGCTACTCTAGTAAATGGATTTACTAATCTTTCTGCTATGGTAAATATGCTTGGGGTTGGGGAATGATGATTGTTTAACAAAAAGGTTGCGATATCGTTAGCAGAATTAATTTTTTCAATCCATGATTGGTTTTACTAAAAACGAGTCTTTTCATTTCCAGGAAATCGACCCAACCTCGTCTATTCAGGAAATGCTTGCTCAATGTATGAATATTTATCTGAAACAATATTTACAATACGCCAACCTCTGAAACATTACTGACTATCTCGTGTGCATGTTTTATTAAATGTACAAAGCTGATCAGTCTGGTGCTATGGGATCAATGATGCAAGATCTTGCGTTTGCGATCCCAGGTGTAGATGAAGCCATGGGATTTGCTGAAGTCATGAAGTAATTCATTTTACATTTATCTTTAATTATCCCGCACGTTTACTTTTTTCGCTTACATTCGATTACGTTTGCCATTGTTTATTAGACAAGTACAAACTATGGAATACTCTGTGATTATATTCGATACGGCTCCAACTGGCCATACGTTACGGTTCTTGAGTTTTCCAAATGTTTTAGAAAAGGCTTTGGATAAGTTGTCAACTTTGAGCGGACGATTTGGTCCCATGTTCCAGCAAGTAAGGAAAAGATGGAGAACTGAATAGAGGAGAGTCGCAAAAGTTGACGGCAAAAGACCGAATGTATTGGATTACTGAACATGACAAATTTAACTAGGTTTCTGGGATGATGGGATTGAATGCCAATCAAGAAGATCTTACTGTAAAACTTCAAGGCATGCGAGCGATCATCACAGAAGTTAACAAGCAATTCAAGGATCCGGTAAGTTGGTTCAATGACAATAAATGATTGTACGTGCTATAACGTGCCCTTAACTATATACTATGTTTCTTATAATATTGTATATCTTTAGGACAAGACTACATTTATTTGTGTTTGCATATCCGAGTTTTTGTCTCTCTACGAAACGGAGCGCATGATTCAAGAGTTGACTACTTACGAGATCGATACACACAATATCGTAGTGAACCAATTGCTCTTTCCACGAAAAGGTGTCGTAATAATTTATGTTATGAATTTTTCATCAGTTGTCTCTTATTTCGCCGGCCATTAACAGTCTTTGTTGCTATCCAGGCTCCAACTGCGAACACTGTTTAGTTCGACATAAAATGCAACAGAAATATCTAGAGCAAATCTACGAGCTCTATGACGACTTCCATATTGTATTAATGCCATTGCTTACGAAAGAAATACGAGGCACACGGGATATTAACGAATTTTCCGAGATGCTTGTTAAGCCATTTGTGCCGCCTGTTTATCGAGAGGAAGATGAAAAACAATCGGAGAACTCTTAAGATGGCGTGAGATAGATCTGGAACAACAGATGAGTTAGATAGTATTTTTGATAAATTTATCTTTATTTTAGGATATTAGCATCTAAACTGTAATACAAATCAAGATAGCATCATGCATTTCAATTGACAACGTGACAATTGGGACAAAAAAAAAAGTACTCACATCGATATGAATAATGTGTCGATGTTAATGTTTTATTTGCTCGCTGATTTATCACGTAGCGCCGCTATATAGCGCAGATGAAATTGATGAAATTAGCTACTTTGCCGTAATTCAAGGAACACTACACTACGGAATAATGGAATTATATTTATTTAATTTCCGCGAGGTAAAGAAACTAATTTGTAAAACGTGACAAAATATCATAAATGAATCTTTTCATCTGCCTGGTAAAACTGTCGGATCTCGAATGTGAATACTGAATGTAAATGGTGATTCAGTCTTTCCACAACCTGACATGTTATAGTGAGACAGTTCAGTAGACGTAATGACTACAGACACGATCCTTTTAAATCCAATTGCCATCAAATTCGAAAACGTAAAATTGTCACTTTGTCAATAATACAGTAATAATAAAGCGATAAGTATAGCATTCTCGTGTTATATTCTTTGTTCTTTTACTACGCCTCGATTTACATTAAATCCATTATGAAACCCAAGAATTACAGCACCATTTTAAAGAAAGTTCCAGGAGAGAAAAATTGCTCCCTATGTTTTTAAAATTAATGATACCTAAACACTCGGGAATATCAAAACGAAAAATAATAAACCATAAACGAAACTTAACTTATGATGAACCAAGAATGAAACGAAAAATAGAAGAAATGCAAGTAAATTTAACGTAAAATCTTTCCACTAAAGCCTTTACTGATCGAGTGACCTATTAATGAACTCGTTCCTTATTGTTATGGTCTTGATGAAGGACTGTTCAAGTGCATTCGTTAAGCTTTAATTCGCTCTTTTCGACACAATTGTAATCAATGAGTCCAACAATCTAAAAAAAGTTCAAATTTTTCGTAAGCGTAAATTTTATTATGTTGATTATGGAATGCGCGCACTCTTGAAAAATAAATACGTACGTAATACTAAAAGCACCAGAGTAAATTGCGTGGGAGGAAAACACTCGGACCCAAAGCTATTAATGAGTATAGCCTATTCTTGGTCACTCTAGTGCAAATTTAACATTTAACTCGTTTTCGTTATTATTAATATTAATATTATTATCACTATCACCTATCTTCGTGGTTTAGAAATTTCTTTCGTAAATAGTGGATGTCACGTTGGCCAATTTTTTGCTAGTATTAGATTTTTTTTCTTTAAAGTAATTTTCTGATTTATTATACGAAGCTGATCTATGATAAAAGGATAATTCCGATCAATAATCCAAGAATAAATTCGCTTGTGGGAGCAACATTTTAAAACTATGAAGTCTGTCGGGTAAATTCTGCAAAACCGTTCGCGAAGCTCTTTCGTAAAATAGCTCAATTTCTATCGTTTTTTATAGCAATCCTTTTATTTGAGTCGCGATATTCGAACTAGGCAAATTTCTGCGCATCGATTATCATTGGTCACATTCTGCATACAGGTTAATTATGAAAAGGCCTAGAAAGTTCCTAATAATACGTCATTAAACGATCATCGTGCAGGGACTTTGCTGAAGAATGTCTGACACCGTTTTCACTGAAATTGCTCGTCTCCACCTTACTACTGAGGAAAAGACTGCCCTGCGGTTTTTTTCACTGGCCACAAGGATGAAAGGGAGGTAGCGTCGAAAGTCCTTAAAACCTGCCCTACAGACGACGAGAAAGTCGCGTATCTCAAGACTTTCTTGACTTCTGGTAAGTGTATTACTGTTTATGAAGGAACTATGACTTTGTGACTCGGACGTTGGGGGCATAGAGCAGTGTGCATAGGGTAGAGTAGACTAATTAATAAGCACACGTTCTCATGTTACTTGTCACTGACTTGTGCCTGAAGGAAGTACATAGGATTGAGTAGTCATTTCTCTACGAACAATTTGTCTGCATTCTCATTGTTGGGACAGTTTTCGTTTCCATCACATTTTATGTCAGCTCTTGATTTATCGACCAATTTTCTCTTCATTACAGCATTTAACAAGCCAAGATCAGTTTCGGTCGGAAATTCTATCACGTATACACTATATTGATCGAATACAACACACAAGGGTTTTGATGAACCCCTGCATGGACCGATTAAGATCACGGAAGCGAACAATTAACTTTGAAAGAGAGGAAAAAAGTGGGTTTGCCGGTTTATCTGTGGAATATTTTCAAATCATTCGAAAGGGAAATGTGTCGTCTAACTATATGGTCGAGAATAACCTTTTATATGGAATATGAGGAAATCAGAGAGGAATTTGATTCTAGAGCTGTTGCTCCTGCATCTCCAATTGATTTTTCCGGAGATTCAAAGAAGTCAGAGAGGAATTTGATTCCAGAGCCTTTGCCAAAACTGTTGCTCCTGTATGGGGACGTCTTCGGCAATCTGTTATTTCGGCTCCGCGGTCCAGCCATTTCTGTCAGAATTTACTAATTCCCACCAAGCCACTGTACTAATAAGCAAAACGTTCATCCGTTATGTTCGTGTGAACTTCCATACGAGACAAATTCCTATTGGACGATTCTCCAACATAACCACTCTATGCAATTTGAGATTCAAAGAAGTCAGAGAGGAATTTGATTCTAGAGCATTTGCAAAGCTGTTGCTCCTGTATCTCCAATTGATTTTTCCGGAGATTCAAAGAAGTCAGAGAGGAATTTGATTCTAGAGCATTTGCAAAGCTATTGCTCCTGTATCTCCAAATGAGTTTTCCGGAGATTCAAAGAAGTCAGAGAGGAATTTGATTCCAGAGCATTTGCAAAGCCGTTGCTCCTGTATCTCCAATTGATTTTTCTGAAGATTCAAAGAAATCAGAGAGGAATTTGATTCTATGATAGCCTGATGGTCATGGGTCAAAGTATTTGTTGCCAGCCAAGCCTATTCAGGAAAGACCATGCTCAGCATGAAATTACAAGAACATTATCTACAGACAATTACAATGTTGTGTATATTAGTCTGGCAGCATTGGAGAACAATTCAGATGCATCACAGCTATTACTATGACAACTTTAATGAATTCTGAAAGTTGAAGATTGGTAGTTCTGGACAAGTATTAGTAACAGCAAACAGTCAATTAGGGATTATTGTGGATGAAATATTCCTTTTAGTCCGGATTGTAACTATCCCAATCGAATCAATGCTTAAGTCATACCAAATAATCGGTTAAGGATTATAACCATCTCAATTGCATTCATGTCATCATTCGAGTGACAACGAGTTTGCGATTGCGTCCTCATTGTAAGGGTTGGCTTGCGTAGTTAGGCTGAAGAATGTAAAATGTTTGCCTGTAATGTATCCCAGATCATGACGCATATTTAGAAAAAATAAAGCAATTCAGAAATTGTCTAAAAATGAATTATTTAATATTAAGATATTTATTGTATTTTATACTTCTAATCATGAATAATTATCAACTCAGTTTCTGTCCGTATAGTAATACGTAATGACTGGAATCTCACACTGCTCTTGACGTCTCATCTTGATCGTATTCTTTATGCCTTTAACGTCAAAATGCGGACGCGTTCGTAATTCTGTCTTTATGAAAAAAAATCAGTGACGTTCATGGTGACGGGTTTGGACGCTAAATTCCTAGAGTCAACACCAATCGTTCTCCCGCAATTGTTGGTTGACTCGACAGAGGATGTTGAGTCATTTACATTGTTCTTGGAAATATTCTGTGCTGTTTGGATGTTGAAGGTTCGGTCTTTCTCCAATACTACTTCCGATTAGGCTTTAACTACCTTCACGCGTCTTTTCAATCGAGAATTCAAAGAACAATAAAGTTGGTACAAATTTTCCACTAGGCTCAATGGTGGAATGTAAACGGCAAAGCGATAGAATCAAACATCCACCAAAAGCCATAAAGCTTCCCTTTGAGGGTTCTCGTTTCATCAAATTGTTATCGCTACTTATATTTAGCTTTTTCTCTTTGAATTGGTTGTCACGAGTTTTTTCATCGCTGTGATTAACTTGCCCACAACGTATGCCGGAAGAAGTGTTCTAAAAATGAAATTTACTATTGACCTCATTTGACTCGGATAGCCTACTACCAAAAGTCAAGAAAGGAAAAACCGAAATGTTTGTATAATTATAATATCGAATGGTTTAGGAAATAAAGGAATGAATAACAATGCACCCGATAATTAATATTGATTGCCATTCCCAAAACGGTAAACACGGGGGAGAAAAAAAGTTGGGCCCGACGTCTTTTCCTTGCCATTATGGCTACTTCTTATCCAGCTCTCAACGAACTCTTTATATTCTTGAACGCCACCTTGACCCAGGCATCTATACATTACTCCAAGATTCCTGGTTCGACAATCTTGTTGAAATATGTGAAAAATTCTTATCAGAACGACCCATTTCGATCCTTGCTAGAACTATTCTTGGTGTTTTTTGCCCTAAAATATTTGTTTTCCAAGACATACCGCACAGACAATTTTGTTGAACTTACTGAGCAGGTAACGTAAGAGCTTTTCGTGTAGACAGGAATGACCATGTGTAATTCAATCGGCTCTCCAAACGCTCGTTTCGTTGCTGCAGGAAGTAGAAGAATTGGTAGATGAATGGCGACCGGAACCACTTGTTTCTTCATTGACCGAGTATCAGAAATGGGAATTGGATCAGACACCAACGATAATTGGGTATGCAATAATATTGCTTATAAACCGCTTATGATGCCAAGATTTAACATATGGCGTCTCGTTCCAAGTTCACAAGGTCCAAAACCAAAGTTGGCGAACGGCAAGACACTGATTAATCTCGCTAGCTTTGACTTTTTGGGTTTCTCAACAAATGATAGCATTAAGGTGAGGACGTGTTAAGGTGCTGTATAGTCAAAATATTGCATATTTAATTATGCGATTAATAATCAAGTCATTTATCGGTGTGTCGTAATAGGAAAAAGCAATAGAGACACTTCGCTCTTATGGTGTTGGATCATGTGGCCCACCCGGTTTCTATGGCACTCTTGGTAATTAGCCTGCAGTCATTTTATTTGCTGATTCAAAAGTGTCTACGTCTCTCTTACCTGCATATCCATCGTAATTCTAGACGTTCATATGAAATTTGAACGGGATATATCTGAATTCCTTGGGACGGAGGATGCTATTATCTATTCTCAAAGCTTTTCGACTATTTCGTCGGCTATTCCTTCATTTTGTAAGAGGGGTGATATAATTGTCGCGCAAGTATTCTTATGTCTTGGATTATCGGATCACTCGCGTATTTGTGTGATGAATAATAACAATCCGAGACAACTTGTTCACAATTAATAGTGATAAAGGATGTAATCTTGCGATTCAGAAGGGGGTACAGATTTCTCGTTCTACTGTCAAATGGTACAATCATAATGATATGGAAGACCTCGAAAGAGTTCTCAAAGAAATACAGGACAATGCTAAAGTGAGTATTCACTATATGTAGATCGAGTCTGAGATAAAGATTAACAAGCTGATTATTACTTTGACTTTTGAACACAGAACAGACGGTTGACTCGAAGGTTTATAGTAACAGAGGGAATATCAGAGTATTACGGTGACATAGCGCCACTCCATAAACTTGTGAGCATTGGCTTATCGTAAATGCATTATGTATGAGACTTGGTATATTCGGTACGATAAATTATGTGTTACATATTCAGATTGAATTGAAGAAGAAATACAAATACCGCTTGATTCTAGACGAGAGCTTATCAATCGGAACACTGGGCCGTCGAGGCGCAGGGCTGACCGACTATTTTAATATTAATGTAAGTATAAGAAATTGATTGAGTGACATCATAAAATGATTTTTTAACGAATCCCCATTCTCTTGACGTTAGTCGAAAGAAGTAGATATGATTGTAGGTTCAATGTGTAATGCTCTCTCTGCTGCCGGAGGGTTCTGCGCTGGATCGTGTGAGATAACAGAACATCAGGTACGCCTAAATGATAAAGTAACCATGTATGTTACTTACTGTAAAAACAATTATTCAACCAACGTCTCGCTACCATATTTTCAGCGTATCTCTGGGTTAGCATATTGTTACTCAGCTTCCCTTCCAGCAATGCTTGCAGTCAGTGCGACAGAGTCTCTGTCAATTCTTTCGCAAAATCCGCAGCTTCTTGTCAATCTCAATGAAAACGTCGGAGCACTAAAGAATGTCTTGGAGAATGTCAAATATATTATTTTGGACGGGGACAAAGACTCTCCCGTAATCCATATAAGATTAAGACAAGATGTAGTAAATATTGCTGACGTTGAAGGAAAAGAGAGAGCCTTGCAGGAAATTGTTGACGAGGTAATACATTAAGGATGATTATGCTTGCGAGTTTGCGGACTACACATACAAATTCATTACGACATTGAGCTCAATTGGACTAATGGAATTTTTCCTCTTCTAAGGCGATGAATAACGGTATTCTACTCGCTCGCGCCAAGTATGTTAGATTACAAGAACTCTTTTACGTCGAACCAAGCATCCGCATTTGTGTTTCCGCTTTCTTTACTAGGAAAGATATTGATAAAGCAGCAGCTGGAATCAAAAATGCTATTGTTAAAGTTTTTAAGAACAGATCAAAGTAGAATGAGTACAAAAGATTTTTTGAATAGATTTTAATATATTTGAATGTAATTTAATTTACGGATCAGTAGGATTCGATGATTTTATTAGATGAACGTATCTTTCTCAAATAAACATGCACTAGAATAAGAGCGATAGCTAAAAGTACATATCAACGTGCCGAATGTAGTGGACTCTCCCTAAATGCATCCCTAACTCAATATCGATTGAAAAGTAATCTTTATTATTCTATGCCAATACAAATACGAAAAATATTTTACATTTTATTACTGTTATAATTAAAAGCCCTTCTGCCAGCTTGGTTTTTGTTTGTTCCTTAGACGTTTGTAGAACTTCTTTCCTCCGCTCTGCTTTGCCTGATATCAGGCAGACACGGATAAAAGTCAATATAGTAAGAGACATGTAGAATGTCATTTCCATCTGTATTGTACAAACCTCTTGAATTTCCAAAAACTTCCGTCTGTAATAAGTTTTCGCTTCCTCGTCAGCCAGTAATTGATCCACGACAGAGCGCTTCTTCTCTTTACGCGTCAATCGGTTAGAGGGAGGATCTGCCGGGCCATCGATTATTGTACCAATCTACAGTACGCAGAGCATATGTTCGGTTGGATCACTTGAAACGAACCGACGTTGCTGACAAAACGCTACCTAACTAACAGAACTACACACCTGAAAATGCGTGGGCAGTTCTTTTAATTCGTCCTTTTTGTAGAATCGCTTTGGATCGAGAACATCTCTTAGTTTGAGAAGTTGTAAATGCCGCTTTATTTCAGGTGTTATTTCGGCTTTCGGGATATCGAACCATCCAGACTGTTCCTTTTTTCGACGTTCAGCATTTTGTTTTTTTGAATCTCTGTTTGCCGCAAGACGAGCTGAATGTTGTTTCTTCTTGTTCAAGCGACCCATTGTGCTGTTAACTGAGGAATGTACTTGTACAACTAATAATAATAACGATAATCAAAAATTTTTATACAAACACGTGACTATAGAGATCGATAACCCTGAACATAATAATAATATTACTTGCTAGAATTCGCTGTTATATTACCGTTAATAAAGACATACAACCACGATTAACAGAATACTTGTGAGAAATGCAAACCGATTCTTAGTTACCAAGCTACGTACTCTTTTCAGCATGGTAGACAGCGTCATATTCTATTTATAGCTTTGAAAGTTTCCAACCCCTGAATTCTTTTGCTAAAGCAATGTCGTTGACAGAACTAATAACAGCAAATACCAAAATAAAGTAGTGTTCAAATTTTACATTGTGATATTCGCCATGTACCGTTTCCCATTGCGCTAACGCTGGTTTAAAGAGTCAGTTCAGTATTAAACCGTGACATAACAAACTATGGCAAGCAGTTCCTCATCGATGGGCGACGAGACACTTGTTGGAACTCTGATCAAGTAAGGCCTTTGAATAATCACATCAAAAAACACCTTCCCATTCTGGATTCATCCCTCACAATTTACTCGATGCCAACTCGTAGGGTTCCTCCCAATTCATCATCCTTGACTTTGCTCGTGTGGTAAAACCGCACTCAATCTCATTGACTTTTCAAGGCGGTTTCGTGGGGAAGGTTTGCTCATTGTTTGGACTAATACCCGACTCGAGAGATTATGAGTTTGTTGCAAATTTCTATCCCGATGACATTAACACTGAACAAATATCCTTTCGGTAACCAATTATATCAGAGAGAGTGTTTTTGAACATGAACTTGTTCCTTAACTCGCTATTTCATACAATTTTCCAATACCAACTGATAAGATAATGCAGTTAACACGGTTAAAGATAGTCTTTGAATCGAGCACAGATTTCTTTGGTAGAGTTACAGTCTATGAACTCAGCGTTAGCGGCGAAGAAGTAAGCTGATTATAACAACGATAAGCTTACTGAGAATCTTTCAATTTTTTTGTGCTCACTTAAAATGTTCCTTGCGAAGCTATAATCTCGGTGGCATTTAAGACCAATTCACGATTAGATTTTATTCTCTCAAATGACATTACAAAAAAAAACCAGATAATTAAATAGTGCGTGTTTTTTACGCATTGCGCTAGCTTTATAGGAAAATTTTATTGGCCGGTGTCTTCATTTTCGCCTTTCTTCTCGTTGCAGGTACTAGTTTCCTCGAAAGGCAATTCGTCGCTTCTATATAGATGATCCATCTTCTAGAAACAATAGCGTGATGGTATTCTGTCTGCCGTAAGGCTGACCAAAATACATATTATTATATTAACATGGTTACATTAGTTGAAAGCAAAAAATAATTTAAATTCTGATGTCGTTCGCCTGTTTGAAAGTAACATCATATGCTCTATGTGAATTTCGCTATTTACGCTTAAACGCCTACCTATCATTCGTCATTTAATCTGTCATGAAAAGCACAAGTTTATCGCGTCTCCGTAAGAGGGCGTTCTCCTGCATTTGCTACGGCATGATTAAACGCTCGAAAATTATCTTCACATGAACTAATGCACAATATAGTAACGAACGGCAAGGAGGATTCGTTTAGGTTTAACATGATCCTGCGATTATCAGATCAAGCGTCGAAATGGATTAGAACATACTCGCTTTGTCCTTTGTTGTAGTTTTGGTAAGTTTAGAGGCATTTCTCTAGGATAAACTCGTAATCGGCCCTTGCTACTGAGAGCGTCACTTTTATTATGTCGGTGTTTATTATAATTACAATGGTTGGCCGATTCGTCTGGTATTGTCACGTACTCATTTACTGGCATGTGTGTTAACGTCTTTTACAATGCTTCAAGCTTTCGTTGTTAAAGCATCACCACAATTATGGCAGTATTTTGACAAGCGATTATTATTAGCAAACAAAGTCTCTATAAAAATAAATCAAGTGGTCTCGGTCGAAAAATCATATTTAAAGTTTAATAATCATGTTTAAATTGTAGCAATGGACATCGTTGACGTATACTGGATCCGATTCAGACAGAAAGAGATCATTTATAGTGGGATTGACAAATATTTTATCGGTGTAGCACGACAATCCTGATCGTTCTGCAATTCCATGTGGTTTTGTTACGAGATGACCCATGTTAAAGGTAGAAAACATTTCCTATCTGCAGACCAAGTTAGACAGACTTATGAAAACAAAGAACAATATTATATTTCTTATCTTATATGGAAAGTATTGAGTATCGATACACGATGACATCGGCTTTCCGTTCCAATATGTCTAGCGAGATCTCCCGCAGCAAGCGTTTACGATGATGATGATTGATTGGTTTGTTTAGACAATGAAGGAACAATGGTAAATTTAATAAATCAGCACATGATCGTTATTTATCTTTGTCAGCCACTTTATTATTTATGAGCAAAGCCTCCCATTAACAGCTTGTCATTGTTAGATTGTCTGTTCTTATGTTGCAAAAGCTGACGTAATATGCCATACTGTGACATACTGTAACAATTGGTATTACTAGCAACAATAACGGGCTAGTCATCAATAAAACGTGTTTGTGTGATGTTCAAGAAAATATAAAACTTCAACATCAAAAACTCCCAGGCTTGCATTCTCTTCATCTATCGATTATCCCCAGCATCTTTTTTATTTATTTAAAACCCCGTTGCTATTCACATTCAAATGGAAGAGATACAAACAAAAGCAACATTCGAATTCACTTTTAGCAATGTTGGAAATCTTTCTAAAGCTGTCTACTCGCCTCCATTCGCAACCTCGTCGAACGTATTCTGGCAACTGAAATTTATTCCTTCGAATCCAGAATATCCCGAATTCTGTTCAGTTTACTTGAGATCAATATTTAATACCGGCGAGATACACGCTACGAGCCCCGGAATCAGACAAGGCGTCTTACCTGCAACCATATACCTCAGAGATCCGAGTAAAGGCAACAGCGCACAATCACAAGGAATGCGACTGACTAGCGGAAATAACTCGTGAGTAATATGGGATTGTGGTGTAAAGTGGCGACTGAGCAACACAATTTGAGGATATTCGAGTCATTCGAATATTCTGTTATCAGAACGGCAGAGACATTTACGGATGCAGTCAACTCTTGTTATATTGTCTCGAGTGACTCATTCCAACATAAGCATATCTTATTGGGGAGACGAACCTTGTAACGAGAGTTGATAGTCAGAGGGTCGTATGTACTATTCACCTTACAATGTGATGCAATAGCAAAATTTGCTGACATTGAACAATTCCTTTTTTTTTTCTCTTTTTTTCTTTTTGTTTTTCGGTTTGAGAAACATAGATGCATCATAAAATCAACCGTTCATAATGACACGTTTTCATTCTACCATCGTAATCGAGGTAACTATGGTGACGAAAACAATTGACAAAAAATAACGTAGCAGCACTTTACACACATTCAATATCCGAACAGTGATGGAAATTATTTCATCGAGAAATTTTCTCCCTTGTCTTACGCTTCCGTTTAATATTTTTCGCATTCGCGTTTTTTTTTTTCACGCGCTCGTTTTATCTCACGTTATACTAATTTCCTTACCCACCTCTCTCCACGATTAACCCCTA